GCCTGGCACGTTTTTGTCGGGGGGTCTCCGCGGTCCCCGGCGGCCCCGGCTCGCTTCGCCCCTTCGGGCGCTCTCATCTTACTTTCTCCATCTGTCTCCCGCCACCGCGTTTTTCTCCGTTCCTTCCTCTCCTTCTAGCGCTCCCCTCGCGTTTTCCCCCTTTCCGCCCACTTGTCTTGCTTTTGTTTCGGTTGTCGCTGCGTGGATTTAGCTTTCCTTCCCTTCCTTAGCATGCTGAGAGAGAATGTGTTGCTTCTCCACGGACCCCTGTGGTTTCCAAAACACAGCCCCTATCTCCATCTTCCGCTTCTAGTTCGTCCATCTACAATCTGTCAATGGGAATTCTTCTACGTTTATGTGTTAACTATGCAGGTTGCTTATATAAAACTATTTTATGGGCTAAATATGTTAAGAAAACACCAAACCCCAACCCTAACGCTACAGCCGTAACGTTCTGAATGCAGATGCTCTTTGAACACGCAGAGTGATGGAGAAAGATGTGGGTTTCTAGATCTGTGGCTGTAGGCACAGGCGTGAGAAATTCACCCCAGGGGAGTCAGTCGGTGCGTCAATAATGTGACGGGGTGGGAGTATCTGAAAACACGCGAGGGACTTTGGGGGGGTCGTCAGGGAAGGGTGACACCTTAGGGTGCTTTCTGTGCTTCGGAAGAGGTCGGGCTACAGGGCGGGTGCAACGCTGCCATTGGCAGGGGCATTTTATTTGTGCTGCACGGGTGCCAAGGGGCCCAGTGGCAAGGCAAGGCGCCTTACGCTCTGGATTTTCTCTCTCCTTTGTGAATTTCTACTCTGAAACATCTCCCCACCTTTGGCAAATTATTTTAGATTTATAGGAGCTTTCCTGAAGCCGGTAGGAGCCTGTATCCTAAAAATATTCCCAAGACGTTTTGCTAATCGGGAACTCATTTCCTGAGAAATCAGATTGGTGATCCCCAAGTTGCAGGTGGATGCAGCAAAGGATTTATCTCTTTACGACCAGCTTGTTACCCCAGCAACAGGGCATATTTGGCATTTGTAGCTATGGATTCCCACCTCGGTGGTGCGGCGCACGGACAGGAGCCGTCACAGGGTGGAATCTGGTGGGGGCAGTGGAGGGGTGGGGTGAAATGTGGGCACTGGCACACAGGGAGGATTCCACCTGCATACTGAGCAGGATGGATGTTTCTCTGGATTTCCTACGCAATGCTTTATAACCTTAATCAATACGGCGAGGGAGAAATGCCAACCCACGCTCTTCGCCGGGCTGGCTCTGCCCGCTCTGCCCTGCCGGATCATCCCCGCTCCGACCTGTCTCCCTGGCTCCCCACCCCGCTCCTGCAGCATCCCCTGGCCCCCATTTGCAGAAGGACTGGGTTGTGAGGGATGCTGTCCCTTTTGAGTCAACACCTCACGCCACGCCGGCATGGTTTCAGAGGATACCGTGCTGCTGCGGAGGATGAATTCACGTTCTTGGGAAGTAGTGCCCTTGAGGGGAAGGGCTCTGTATCCTACTCCCCACCGGCTCTGAGCCACGCTGTGCTCAAAGTATTGCTGGGTTGCAATAAATCTTGGTCTCTGGAGGGGGTGGGAGAGTGGGGGATTATCTGGGAATGGGGGTTGTAACTAGGCCATGTAATATAATCTCTGAGGCCCATTTGGCCGGGAGTGGGCATGGGCCCCTCCCCCCTCTCCACCTCTTTATTTCTCCCTTTCCCTGCCCCGGAGCCTGTGTGATAAAGATTAATTTGCTATTTCTGGGCCTGTGACATTTTTCATAGCCTCCTGCTGGCTGCTGCCTCCATGCCAGGCCTGGCTGGGCTCCAGCCAACGGGATGAGCAAGGAGGGGCCAAGGGAATATGGTGCTCGCCATGGAGTGGGGAAGGAAGGAGCGAGGGACCCTTAGAGTAGGTGATTATATGCGTAGGATGACTGACTGAACGTGTACCTGGGTACGTGTGTGTAGGACCCCGGGCCTTAGCCCAGAAGATGAGAGGCATAAGTGATAATGGCTGCGTGCACGACTTGTCCCCTGGGGACACCCCAAGGGAAGATGTATCCTGGATCCTTTAATTATGGCTTCAGCGAGCTAAAGGATTTAGCATTTGGAATCTGTCTCCAGAATCAGGCTACTTCTGCCTCTTGATTTCTTTTTTTTTTTTTTAACCACTCTGGCTTTCCTGGGCACCCAGATGCCTCTCCACATACTTCTAATAAGATAGTAATGAGGAGGCAAGAAGGAACACATTGTTTCTGATGAGGTCTCCCAAGAGCCATGTAGAGTAGAACTAAAGAAAGATAATTTCTTCCTCCCAGCCTACTTGAGACTTCTTTATTTCCAGAGAAGAAGGTGGGGAGGGGTGGTTGTTACCTACCACTGGATGATATTCTGCTCTTTTCCTACTGAATCTGTCACTGGTGGCTAATACATTCCTGTCCTCCATCCCTTACCCCAAATCCACCTCAGCAAACAAGCACAAACCCTGGATTGAAGCTGAGTATCAGGGCATCGTCATGGAGAATGACAACACAGTCCTGCTCAACCCACCGCTATTTGCACTGGACAAAGACGCTCCGCTGCGCTATGCAGGTAGGTGGGTGGGTGGCAGCTCTGGGGAGGGTGGGAGGCAGGAGGAGACTTACGAAGAGGCAGAGGCAGGGTGACATTCATCCCTGTGCTGGATTCTAGCTCTCTCCAGGAAACAATCACCTCCAAACCTGGTTCCGGAGGAGGTCCCCAGCGAAGTCTGGAGGCAATTTGGGCACAGCTTGATTTAGGATGCTGTGAGCTGTTCCCGTAGGGAGAGAAACTGAGGGTGGAGCCAGCTACTTTTTGACGCAGTTCTGCTATTTCCAAAGATCACATGCACAGCTCTGTGTCTGTGAGCGCTGGAGAATGCTGGTAGGGCACACTTCGTTGGCAGCGCTGCATCCCCTCACAGTAAGCACAAATCCCCGAAACTACAGAGGAGGCGTTACGAGGGTTGTGTTCCTGGTGCTTGCTTAGGCTGTGCCTGGAGCTTCCTCATGCATCCTCCCTCAGCTTTGGGAGAGGAAAAGTCATCCCTGTGAGCTGGACTTTAGGATTTAGGTGACCCTATCTGCAGTTCCCTGCGGTACTGTGCACATCCTGCATGTGTGGGTGGATGGGACATCATGGATCTTCATGCTTTGGCTGTCTATCTGCAATATATGGCCTGTTTTGCCTCCCTGAGGAATGTAGAGGAGAAATAAGTTGCTCCCTCAGTGCCGTGGCTGTGTAGCACGAATAAATCTAGCTTGAGCCTTGTAACTTCTTTCTTGATGCTTGTCAAGACCCCTTACCGTGGGAGCAGTCTCCAGTAGAGGGCAATCTACACCATTAATGGCTGTTAAGAGATGGCAGGAGGAACTCTTGGGGAACCAAAAATTGTTTGAAATGAGAAGTGATAATGAGGGAGAAAGGAAAGTGTAAGTTAGAAAGATGGAAAATATGGGAGAGGGAAGTAAGGGGGTGTAATGCGCTCTCCTCAGTCCTTTTCTTTCTCCCCTTCCTCTCTGCCTTTGTGGGTACCAGGTGAAATCTGTGGCTTCAGGATCCATGGGGCAGGAGTACCTTTTGAAGCTGTGATCCTAGACAAAGCTACAGGTGAGGGGCTGATACGGGCCAAGGAACCAGTGGATTGTGAAGCGCATAAGGAGCACACATTCACCATCCAGGCTTACGACTGTGGAGAGGGACCCGATGGAGCAAACACCAAGAAATCACACAAGTAAGTCCATGCAATCATTGCTGCGTGTTCCAAAATGTGATCTGACACAGAAACGCAAATGAAAATTGCTGTGGGAATGCTTCCTTTAGCCAGAAGTATTTTTGTCTAGCCTTGATACTATAACTCAACATGTTAATAAGACCCAAAGAGAAATGTTCACTGACTGAGTCACATGAGTGAATACACTAGAAATGAGAGCTGCCTGACAGTTGTGTCTAAGGGTGGTGTTTTATGTTGCTGCCTGTAGGCAGGAGATCCAGAGGACATTACCATTCCTTTTGCTCTTTCTCTGGGCTGGGAAACCATTGTCCATGATCCTGTGTGCCAACATTGCTGCGTTGAAACCAAGGTCTCTTCCCTTGTCCTTGCTTTTGACGGCTGGAAATCAGACTGGTGCACTTTAGTGGAATGACTTACACTGAAATTTAGGTGGTGTGTGGCTTCTAATCAGCTGATCAGCTCTTATTGATGTCTCTCTGCCTCAGGGCCACAGTGCACGTTCGAGTAAACGATGTGAATGAGTTTGCTCCTGTCTTTGTGGAAAAGTTGTATCGTGTGGCAGTGACTGAGGGAAAGCTGTACGACCGCATCTTGCGTGTGGAGGCCATTGATGGAGACTGCTCGCCACAGTATAGCCAGATCTGCTACTATGAGATCCTGACCCCCAACATTCCCTTTCTGATTGACAACGATGGTAAGAATCCGCACCTACCATGACCACGTCACTCCCCCTTTCCTGCTTTGCTCCCTCTCTGCCCGTCCCATTTGCTAGCAGAGCTGTGCTGTGTGAATTTTCTCTCCTGCATTGTATGAATATCTCTCCTGGTGCAGAGATGCCAACAGCCATTTTGTGCGATGCCATAGCTTGTTACAGAGTGGCACTGCGGGAGGGGACGCGCACAACACAGCCCCTTTTTGGTTGTTTTTGTAGTTGATCAAAAATAAGAGTGATCTCTAGAAGGAACATCTTTGAGGAGACTGTCTTTCCTCTCCCTTGATCTCTTTGTTTTGCTAACCAGGGAACATCGAGAACACAGAGAAGCTGCAGTACAGTGGAGATCGCGTCTACAAATTCACAGTGACAGCCTATGACTGTGGAAAGAAGCGGGCTTCTGATGATGCTGAGGTGGAAATCCAGGTGAAACCCACCTGCAAGCCCAGCTGGCAGGGTATGAAACCTCCAAACACAGTTATGCCTCTGCTTTTGCTGATCAACTACTCAGTCCTACTCATTGCAAATGTTTGTATATACACATGTAAATTTGTATGCCTACATGTATGGTTTAGTTCTGGCACCAACCCATCAGTTCTATATAAGGGGATGCAGCAGACATCTAAGTCTGTTGCAAAGCCACTGAAAGGCAATTCTACCGCTGGAAAACCATTCCCTGGATTACTGTGAACTACTGTGTATTTGATAAGGCTCATAGACTGTGTTCAATGTACATTGGTTTTGGGGCTGCTTATCTGGAGAATATTTGGCTTTTCCAGAGGTGTTGTATGCCTACAGGTTCACTTTAGTCAATAGAATTAAGGGGAAATCAACACAGCTAAATATCTTCTCTGCTTGATAAGAGAGGTGGACAATACAAGGAGTGATGCTGCACTGGTACTAGCTGTAGAAAATGAGAATCGGGACCTTGTGCTTCTAGGAAATCTTCCCTTGCGGTGATGCCAGCTGCACAAAGTTGTCTTTTCAACACGGAAGGGGACAAATATCTCTGTTTCTGGGCTAGTCCATAGATGCCGCTGGTGTGTGTGTGCGCCAAATGTTCTGGCCTTGGGTCTGTGGCAGGACCTAACCCCCCTCCTTCACTCTTCCTCATTAGGCTGGAACAAGAGGATTGAGTACACCCCAGGTGCGGGCAGCCTCGCGCTCTTCCCCAGCATTCGCCTGGAGACCTGCGATGAGCCGCTGTGGAACATCCAGGCCACGGTGGAGCTGCAGACAAACCATGTGGCCAAGGGCTGTGACCGGGACAACTACTCTGAGAAGTCACTACGCAAACTCTGTGGTGAATCGATTCTTTCCTGGGCCGAGGGCAGCTGTGGCGCAGCACCCTGCCCCTTCCCCTGGACTGGGGGGTTTGCAGTGGTGGCTCTGTGCCTCACATGGCAGAGATGCTGGGGGACATGCTCCTCACACCTGCTGTGGTCAGTGGGGCTGGGAGGACATCTAGCTCGCACGCTGCGTTGAGGGGCAGTGGGCGCCATGCCCGTATTTGCGTGGGGCTCCCTGTTCTTTCCTTGCTGGGAAGCCAGAGGCTTCTGTGCATTGCCCTAGTACGCAGAGCCTGTGGGACTTCCCTCGGCACAGACGGAAAAGTCACCGTCCTTCCCCAGACAGGAGAAGGCCTGTAGGCAACTCCTCCCCTCCCTCTGCTCAAGGATGTTGCAGGGAGCCTTCTAGCACCCTCTTCGTTTTTTCCCCAGTTCTCAGGCTCCTTATTCTCCCGTGCTGACATTCCTGACTC